TCCCCAAACTGGAAACTGTTCTGCGTGAGAGGAGGAGCTTGGGGCCGCGCGGGCCGGCCGGGGCTGGCGGCCCTGCGACTGGTCCCGCGTCAGGCTGGGCGGGCAGGAGGGGCCAGCCCCGCCAGAGGGGGAGGCCGGGCAAGAGGGGTGTCTGTGCCCCAGTCCGGTGAGAGGGGGCAGCATGAGGCCCGGCCAGGAAATGGCCAGTGAGAAGCAGCGGCAGACGGGGCAGCGGCGGGAAGCTGGTGCGCACTTCCTGGAGTGGGGTCCTGGGGTGCTGGACCGGGGTGTCCGGGCAGAGCTGCAGGGCCCGGCCTGCGGGCGGGGCGGAGAGAGCAGGTCCCAACCCCCAGGCTGGTCTGGAGTCGGGCTTTTTGGCAAAGGAAGTGGCCCCCGCCGCGCTCAGCTGGGGCCGGGCTGGTGGCGGCCACCCCAGCGGGCAACCAGGGCCACTTCCTGGGCCAGTAGGGCCTCCGGCGTGGGGGCCCGTTCTTGCAGCCCAGAGCTGACCCTTCCACCCTGCGTTCGCCCTCAGGCCCCTGGGTCCCTTGCATCTGCGTTTAGGTGGAGATTAGGGCACTTTTCCCAGAGTGGCTCCCAGTGCCGAGGTGCGTCTGAGGCCCACGCTGGCCGGCTGTTGTAGTGTCCACTGCCCCTCCTCGAGCGCTGGGCGCCAGGCAGGGGACGGGTGGCTATGGCCTTCTGCCCCGCCAGGTCCCCCAGGCGTGGATGGCCTCATGTCTCCATCAAGTTGGCGCCACCTTTGGCTCTGGGGCGGGGGCGTGTGCCGGGGAAGGTCACCACACTGGGGCCTGTGGGGGGTCAGGCGGGGGCGGGGCGCTTCTCCTTGCTTGGCCCCAGGAGGCGTCTCCCTTGGGCTGTGGGAGCTGCCGGGGGCCCTCCCTGCCTGGCCAGAAGCCCACCCATCCGTGCGTCTGCCCAGGTGCTGGACTGGCCAGCGGGAGGCCCTCTGGGAGGCCGCCCAGCAGCTCCCTGGTGCAGCCCTTCAGGAGGCGCTTTCTGGGTGCTCTGGCGGGGGTGCAGGGGCTTGGCCGGCGGCCAGGCTTTTTCTTTGGGTGGGCATGCCCCTGGGTCTGACCAAAGACCCTCCAGCTGGCTGCGAGGGTTTGGCCCCAGGGTGGGCGAGGGGCCCTGGACCTTTCCGTCTCCAGCTGCTGATTCCTGTGCTGGCCCGGGGCCTCCCCTGTCAGGGCTGCTAGGCAGGTCCCTGCCGGGCACGGACCCGCACCCAGAGCCCAGGCCGCCGCAGGGCCCAAGTGTCCCGGCCTGGAGCTGGCCCAGTGGAGGGGTGTCCTTGCCCTGGGGCTAGAAGGGCGGCCGGGGACCCCAGGACCACCTGTGCAGGGTGTCCTCAGCAGGCCTCGAGAAAGAAAGGCCGGGGCGAGGGAGGCCCCGCGGGTGCAGGGGCTTGGGGCCTGCGGGTGGCGGCTGCGTGGCGGCGGGTGGCGGCGTGGGTGCCGCAACAGAAGGCCGCGGGCAGGTGCTCCAGCACAGCTGGACAGGGAGGCCTGGCCAGCCGGGGCTTTGGAGGAAGCTTGGGGAAGGTGGTTCCCCCTCGCCGCCTCCTCTGCACCCCAGCCCCAGGGGTGACCACCCATCCTTCGGGCAGCAGGGCTGACTGGCCCCAGGCGGGCGGGGTGGCCGCTGCAGCAGGCAGGAGCAGAAGGGTCAGGCGGCAGCCCGCACCTGCTGGCGGCCCCGGGCCTGGGCTGGGGCTCGCCGGCGGCCCTGGGCCCCGGGCCCCGCTGGCCGGCGGCTGGGGGCGTGCCAGCCGAGGGAGCTGTGCGGCGCTGAGTCAGCATGACTCGCCAGGAACAGCCGCGCTCTGGGGCGCTCTGGGGTTATTTTTAAAGCTCCCGGCTTCCTTCTGGCCTGGCCCCTGCTGCACCCCGCTCGTCTCGCCCCCAGCCCCTCGCCTCGCCTCGGCCGCCCCAGCAGCCCTGTGTTCCGCTTCCGCCGGCCCCCGCCGGTGCTCTGGGGCCGGGTGGACAGGGAGCTGCCCGCCGGGCGAGCCAGTCAAGGGCCGTCCCCCACCAGCGGCCCGCCCTCCCTCACCCGGGTCCGTCGGCAGCTGGGGGGCGGAGGAGGGCCGGTTCGGGGTGCTGACCTCTGCCCTTGCCTCCCAGAGTGCCTGCTTGCTGCGCCCCCGGGTTATGACGACCCCCGGTAAAGGAAACAAGGCCTTGAAGGTGAGCAGTCGGGGGGCGGCGCCCGGCCGGGCTGGTGCGGGGCAGCCCTGACCGCGCTGTGTCGCCCCAGGTGAAGCGAGAGCCGGGCGAGAATGGCACCAGCCTGACGGACGAGGAGCTGGTGACCATGTCGGTGCGGGAGCTGAACCAGCACCTGCGCGGCCTGAGCAAGGAGGAGATCGTGCAGCTGAAGCAGCGCCGGCGCACGCTCAAGAACCGCGGCTACGCGGCCAGCTGCCGCGTGAAGCGCGTCACGCAGAAGGAGGAGCTGGAGAAGCAGAAGGCCGAGCTGCAGCAGGAGGTGGAGAAGCTGGCCTCGGAGAACGCCAGCATGCGGCTCGAGCTGGACGCGCTGCGCTCCAAGTACGAGGCGCTGCAGAGCTTCGCCAGGACCGTGGCCCGCAGCCCCGTG